ACCCGGCAACTCCCACAGGGCCGATGGGCCCAATTGCCGGTAGGGGTTGGCGGTCCTGACTTCAATCGCCCGGCCGGCTGGGGCCGTTAGATGGAACTTGCTCCACCACCAGTCTTGGGGTGGGTTGGGGGGACCTCCGCTCCGGGACGGGTAGTTTCTCGTCTCGGGGGAGGAGAAGGTCCTACACGAGTAGGCATTGCACGCCGGTCTGGCAACTGAAAGCGTGGGACACCCTCGATCCGTCCCTACTCGGGCCTCAGCCTGGGTAGGGTGGGGAGAGGAACCCACACCCGGGATTGCACGTCGGTAGTTTCCAACAACCCGGGGGGTGGACGGGTGCGCGGGCCGCTCGGACATATTCCGAGACCGGGGTCGCGCACCCTGGGATGGCCATCCCGTCGGAGCTACCCGGAGGATCACTTCGGGCTGGCGGGACGGGAGGTGGAGTAGCAGGGACCGGTACATTGGCCCTCCCCATATTCAGTGGAAAGATGCCGCACCCCGGCAACTCTGCGACTCCTCCTGGTCACGGTCGCCTATAGCGACGTGGCCGGCCGTGAGGGCCCCCCCGTGTGGGCAGCTGCGCACGGGGAGCATTAGGGGTCTGCGTGGTATTTGCCAGGACCCCTACAGCGCTGGTCCGACAACGTCGGACCTGTACACATCATAAACCCCCAGGGGTCGTTATGTCATGTCTATGACGAACCTCTGGGGGAGCGAGGGCCTTGGTTTAAACGCCTGGGCCGCGAGGACGGGGACCTTTATAAAAAACCTCTCCAATCCTAAGCTTGGGAGCCGTGGCGATGGGATGAATGGCCGGCGGGTTAGTCGGTCGCGAGCGGTCCACCCCGGGGCACCTGGCGCACCCCGGGTGTATCTAGCCCGAACCCAGGCGTGGGACTCCGCCTGGGGGGTTTATAGTTCCTCCAGTTCTTATGGCCCGCCCTGTAAGCCTCTGGATGAAAAGGGGCGGGCAACCTAAAGATGGCTACACCCTTTAAAAACATAGACGTCGCAGGAGGAGAGGAGGAGGAGGTGGAGGCGTATGCCTCGCTCTCAGACGGGCAAAATTCGTCCAACGCTGAGCCGACCACCAGCTCAGCCGGAAGGGAGGAGGCGAGCAGTTGCCCCTCCGTAGAATTGGAGACGGGGGCGAATGAACCCCTAGATAGAAGTGCGGGACCATCTTTGGTCTCAACACGCTCCTATAACACTAGGAGGAACAGCATCAGCGCGGGGGGTAGCGACGGCGACGTCAGCTCGCGGTCGCGGTCGGTCTCCCACGATCAGAGGCAAATATTTGTCAAAAAGGATGGGCGGGGGCGACGCGCCGTATACTTCCGCACTGGAGACCACACGGCGGCCGCCCGGGCGCACAGAAAAAGAAAGAGGGAGGAGAGCGACGCGGCGTCGGGCGTGGAGGATGTAAAGAACCCCAACGTACGCCCACAGTCCGCGAGAGCCCTCCAAACATTGGAAGAAGAAGGGAGGATCCTCCGCGGCTTGCGGTCAGTACGGACCGCTGAAGTCTTGTCGATGGCCCTATGGGCCATCGATGAGGTGAAAAAAGTCGCGGAGCGGTCCAAAAATATGAAGGGAGGCTACAAGGGGGCCCTCTGAAACGCAATGGCGACGATGGCCGCATGCAACCTCGCTCTTGTTCAGAGGGCCACTACAACTGATGGCTCCGAACAGAGCGAGGCTGCAAAGAAGGAGCAGGAGGCAACCCTGGGCGAGATGGAGCGCCTGCGAGTTGAGGGCGCTCTACTCCGGCTGGAGGTTGGTCGCCTTAACGGAGAGCTGGAGAGGGCCCGAGCACCTGGCCCCTCCAGCTTGTAACGCGGTTCCTTTTCTTGCCCCGTGCTTTTTCTGCGGTTTATCTTTGGGTAAGCTCGTCGGCGGCCAGGATCGTGATAGGAGAGAGAGATGGCAGTAATGTGCTCGATTGTGTTGAATTATAACGAGAGTTTATTGCCTTGAGTTTATTGCGTACAGGGAGTGGGGATCTACACTGTCCCCGAGGCGCGCGCGATCGGTGTTGCCGGTGCAACCCGGGGTGGTGAGCGGTCGCGGTGGCGGCAGGCCGCGATTTGGGCTCTGGGCCGCGTCGTCTTTCGGGTTGACCTCCGCTATCCCAGACGCGGCCGGAGGTTCCTCCCTTCTGCTATTGGACGGTGGCCTGCTCGGCGATGAAGCCCGGCACGTCGTCGTCTGGAACGGTGTGTCGTGGAGTCACGGTGGAAGCCCGACGCGCTCTCCTCTGAGTTCGATCGACGGCCGAAACCCGGCACGTCGTCGTCTGGAACGGTGTGTCGTGGAGTCACGGTGGAAGCCCGACGCGCTCTCCTCTGAGTTCGATCGACGGCCGAAACCCGGCACGTCGTCGTCTGGAACAGTGTGCCTCGAGAGGCGGAGTTCTCGGTCACGCTCCCGTGCTGGTCTCTCAGGAGACCGGCGGTGAACTCGTCTCGAGGGTTCCGCGAGCCCCCCCTTTTATAGAGGCGGCCGCGGAAATTTAACTGCGAGTGCTGCCTCAATCTCGCGTTCGCGCCGCGTAGTGGCGACCGGAATGACTACTGGGCTCCCGGCATGCTAGTCGTATAACGGGTGTCAAATATCGCAAATAAGTACAGCGGGAGAACGCAACATAAATATATTCTGGTTACCGACAACGGTCGAGAATACAACGGTGGAGTAAACGAAGGAAATAGCAACTAGAACGACTGAACACAATTTGGAACGGTTAGGAACAAGGTAGGAACGCCTCGTTACACTACCTCCTCGCTAGCATGGGGTCCGGCTCGTCGTGCGCGAAAGAGGACTTCTTCCCTGAAGTGGAGGATCCATCTGGCGCTGCCGGCGTGGACCCGGCAGGCCCCCTGGCGCAAGGTGGCTGCCCGGGGTATCGTGACCTGGGTACCGTCCGGCAACGTTACGGTCCGTCGAGGCCCCCGGGGTTCCGGGCTTCCCCCCGTGCTGGGGGGGAGAAGGTTGATGGGGCCCTCGTTCAGCCCGTGGTCTCGTTGTTGGTGAAGGTTCCCGACTGCTCCCTGACGAGTCGCTCCCAAAGTGCTCACACATGAGCGCCTTCTGGTCCCGGGCGTACCGGGGGGCGCCTACCCGTCCTTTCGTTGCTGGTGGCGCTGGTGGTGGTGGCGCCGGTGGTGTTGTAAGTGGGGGGGCCAGCGGTCCCGACCTCTGCGGGGGTGCGCCAGGTGGCGTGTGGTGCCCGGAGGACTGGTGGCGTCTGTAGGACCACCCTACGGTTCGGTGTCTCCTCCCGAAGGATTCTCGGGCCTGAGCGAGCCGAGGTTGACGGCGTGGTCGGCGGTCGGTTGCCGGTTGCCCATCCCACGGGCCGGACGTGGGGCTGGCCCCTGGGGCGCCCGGTGGGTGGCGGGGGTGCGTACCCGACCAATGCCAGTAGCTTCCGCTCGCCGGCGTCGCGGGAGCTCTGGATCGACGTCCCCACCCGTGGCCGGGCGAGCGCGCCTACGGGCGGCGTCAGAGCTTCGGCCGGGGGGGGCTTCCCGTGCTCCGGTTCCGGCCAGCAAGCGCTGCCATGTGGCGTTTGCCTCCTCCGGCGTCATCGGGCGAATGAGCTCCTGGAGAGTTTGCTCGTCGTCTGCCATAACGTGGTTGGAGCGTGTTCGCCAGTCCCTCGCTCCGGGGGGTCGTTGGCCTTATATACCCTCTGTTCTGGATATTTGCCTGCGAGTACGTGCCCGGCGAGCGCCGCTTAGCGGCGTGCGGCAAACTTACTGGTCGGTGCACGGCACGTACAGGGCCGGCTCGCGGGGTCTCCGGGCCCTGGGGTTTGTCGCTGCTTCGTTCGTCGCGGCTGGCGGGTTTCATGTCCCGTACATGAATTCCCCGATACCAGTGCCCCTGTTTATCCCGGAGGTCGGCTATGACCGTGGAGATGATCCGTCGCACCTCCATGGGGCCCGTATATTTGGGTGCAAGCTTTGCGTTGAAGGCCCGTTTCTTATCGGACAACGGGTGGTCGCGTTCCCATATCTGATCCCCCACCTGGGGACGCCAGGATCGATGCCGTAGGTTGTAGTGGTGCTTCTGGTGCTGAAAGGTCCGCGCCAGATTGATGCGGACGAGCTCGTAAGCTTCGTTCAGCTGCCGCTGAATCGTACTCGGTGTACCCATGGGCGCTAGTCGTCCGCGTTCCATGGAGATTGGTCCGGCCAGCTCTCGTCCATGGTTCAGGTAGGCCGGTGTATATCCGGTTGCTTCGTTTCAGGCTGTGTTAAATGCGTACTGGAGAGCGGGGAGGTGTTCATTCCACCGCCGGTGGTTTCGCTGCATGTATTGGGCTATCATCGCCTTCACGGTGCGGTTAGCACGTTCCACAGGGTTACACTGTGTTGTGTAAATAGGTGTCGTTCGGTGGCGGATCCCGCGGCTCTGGGCGACCGTTCGAACGGGTTTGGACACGAATTGCGTCCCGTTATCCGTAATGATGACGTCGGGGCACCCGTGCCGGTAGACAATCTGGGCCAGGATAGCCTGGGCCACGGCATTAGCGGTGGCCTGTCGTAACGACCTGGTTTCAACCACTTGGTGAAGCGGTCCTGCATCGTGAGCAGCCACCGGTGTCCCTGGCTTGAACGGGGCAGGGGCCCGACCAGGTCCAGCGACACTTGTTCCCAGGGTGCGTGGACCGCCGTAGCGTGTAGTCTGCCCGCTTGGTGACCCTGGGGGGTTTTATGGGCCAGGCAACTCGGACACCGCCGTACATGACGGGCGATGTCGCGGTACATGCCGGGCCAGTAGAACCGTCGGGCGAACCGGGCGATCGTCTTGACTATCCCTAGGTGCCCAGCGGAGGGCTCGTCATGATATAGGCGCATTATCTCGAACCGCCGCTCCCATGGGACGCACTCCTTCCATTGCTCATGGCTGGGGACCCCGCGAAAGTCGAGGTCGTGTAAGAGGTGGCGGAAGAGTCGCCATTTACGAATGAGATAGTCGGGGTGCTGCTGTGGTTGCTGGCGCACCTGGTCGGCTAATCGTTGGCAGTACCATCGGTCCTGAACGGGCCGTTTCAGGGAGCAGACCTCGGGTCGCCGGGATAGGGCGTCAGCGACCTAGTTAGCGGTCCCGCGCCGGTACTTGATCTCGAAATCGTATTGTTGCAACTCGGACCACCAGCGGCCCAGCCGGCCGGTGGGGGAGTCCATGCTGTGGAGCCATCGCAGTGCTTGGTGATCGGTGACCACGGTGAATCGATATCCTTCCAGGTACGTCCGCATGCGCCGGATGCCCCAGACCACCGCTAAGCACTCTAATTCGGTGGCGCTGTAGTTTCGCTCGGCGGGATTCAACGTTCTGCTAGCGTATGCGATGACGCGTTTCCCTTCCTCGAATTGCTGGGTGAGCACGGCTCCCAAGCCTAGAGCACTGGTGTCCGTCTGTAGCACGAATGTCCGTGCAAAGTCCGGGCAGGCGAGCACCGGGGAGGAGGTGAGAGCGGCTTTTAGCGCCTGGAAGGCCGCCTCTTCTTGTGGACCCCAGTGCCATCGAGCCGTCTTCCGGGTTAACCCGGTAAGCGGCGCGGCGGTCCTGGCGAATTGCGGTATAAACCGCCGGTACCACGAGGCCATTCCTAGAAACTGGCGCACCTTGCGTATAGTCGTAAGGGTTGGCCAGTTGGTGACAGCGGTCGTTTTCTCGGGGTCGGTTCGTAGCCTCTGTGCGTCCACGATGTGCCCCAGGTACCGGAGCCTGTTGCGCCCGAACTGGCATTTGTCCGGGTTTGGTCGTAGGTGGGCGGCTCGGAGTTGTTGCAACACTTTTTGTAGGACGCGCAGGTGCTCCTCGAAGGTCCGCGTGGTGGTGATAATATCATCCAGGTATACCAGGACATGGGGCTCCAGGTCCGCTCCCAGTACGGTGTCTAGAAGGCGTTGGAATGTGGCGGGGGCGGAATGTAATCCGAACGGCATCACTCGGAACTGCAATAACCCGCGGCCGGGGACCGTGAAGACAGTGATAGGGCGGCTGGCGGGGATTAAAGCCACCTGCCAGTACCCGTTCTTGAGGTCGATGGTGTTCAGGTACCGGACGCCGCGGAGCTTGTCCAAAGTGGCGGTTACCTGCGGCAGGGGGTAGGCATCCTTTTCCGTGACTTCGTTTACTTTTCGGAAGTCTATGCAGAACCTCCGGCTACCGTCTTTCTTTCGTACTAGTACGACCGGGGAACTCCACGGGCTATGCGTGGATTCAATAATGCCTTGCTGCTCCATTTGTTGGACCTCTTGGTCGATGATGCCTTGCATCGCCGGGTTACGGGATTGAAACCGTTGTTTGATGGGCCGGCTCCCATGCTTCAGTCGAATCTCGTGCTGCACGCATGGCGTGGGCCCGGGTACGGTCGCGAATTGTTGGAACTCTTTCTCTAGGACTTCCTGCAGCCGGTGTCGCTGTAGTGTGGCCATAGGCGCAAGTCCCCCTGCGTCGGTGCTCAGGGGTGCGAGACGGAGCGGAGTCGTGGTCGTGGTCGGGGCCGCCGGGGGACATAATGGTAGCTGAAGGCGGGCCCACAAGTCGGCCCCAATGAGCATGTCTTCGATCAGGTCCGGCATTACGTAAAAATCGTGGCTGACTACGCGCTGCCCCACTTGCAGCGGCAGCCGCACAGTGCCGGCGAGGGTGACGGTCGTCCCATTCGCCAGCCTGATCTCTTTTTCCTTGAGCCGTGGTGTACAGCGCAATCGCCTCGAGAGGCGGAGTTCTCGGTGTCACGCTCTCGTGCTGGTCTCTCAGGAGACCGGCGGTGAACTCGTTTCGAGGGTTCCGCGAGCCCCCCTTTTAGGCGGGCTCGAGAGGCGGCCGCGGAAATTTAACTGCGAGTGCTGCCTCAATCTCGCGTTCGCGCCGCGTAGCGGCGACCGAGATGACTACTGGGCTCCCGGCATGCTAGTCGTATAACAGGTGTCGGGTATCGCAAATAAGTACAGCGGGAGAACGCAACATAAATATATTCTGGTTACCGACAACGGTCGAGAATACAACGGTGGAGTAAACGAAGGAAATAGCAACTAGAACGACTGAACACAATTTGGAACGATTCGGAACGAGGTAGGAATGCCTCGTTACAAGCTTGCCACAAGCGACCTCCGCTATGGAGGTCGATGAAAATGATATACCGGGCCTTGAAACCGGTGTGCAGACGGGTCCCATTTCCCGGGACTCGTCTGCGGACTGGAAGAGAAAGAGGGCAGAAGAAGCTGGGGGGGGAATTTCCACTCTCCCAGTCTTCAAATAAAAAGGATGGTCCGGAACCCCCTGTCTACCTCCAGTGAGGAAGAGATGATGGTGGAAGGGGGCGCTGGATCTGCCCGGCCACTCCACCCGACTCCCGAGGAAATAGAAATCGGGAAACAATGCCGGGAGGAGGTGGCTCGGGATAAAGCGACGGGAACGCTGCCCTCGGGGGGACCCCCCCCCTCTTCGGGCACGTGATAGTCCTACTGAGGGAGTTGGTCGACCCCTCCCGAAGAGGGGGAAAAAGAAGAGGAAGGCTGCTGTGGTGGTAACGGCGGGTGTGGGGGCACTCCTCGCAGCCCGTCAAGCTGTTGGTAGGCGACCTCAGAGGGTCGCGGGGGGAAAAGTCCCCCCCTTGGCTGAAAGCGCGTCCCCTGTGGTGGCAGGATTGAGTGGCGGGGAGCTAAAGGCCCTTGTGGTGGCCCTAGTTCCCCGCCTTATCGAGGCCATGGGGGCCGTCATCTCCGGGATTACGCCTGGGGGGCGGTCCGCGTGGCCTCAAAGTGAAAATAAAAAGGTAGGAGGAGATGGTGGAGATGGGAGCCGAGCAACGCGCCCCGACCCTTCCCCTGTTGCCAAGTCCTCCGCGACCTCTACCCCTGTCGAGGCCAAACGGCCTGAAGTGGCGGGGGAGAGCAAGCGGAGGAAGAAGAAAAAGAAGAAGAGCGGTGTGGGTGACCCCTCGCCCCCTGGATAGTAGGCGGGCTGCCCCTAAAGTGTGCGCCTGCTCCTGCCAGGGAGCCGGGCCTCCCCAGGACCGGATCGCGCCTATGCGATCCAGGGGGAGTACCGACCCTCCCTGCTCCGCCGCCGGGCGCGAGACCTGGGCCCGAGTGGTCGGGTGGAGGGAGAAGAAGACGGAAGGGGGGGACAAACAGGCTCCCCAACCCGTCCCCCAAAAGCCTTGGCCCCAGAAGGGTGCCGCGACCAAGGGGGGCGATAAGAATAAAAATACACGGGATGGGGGAGGCGGGAGAAAACCCGCCCTCCCGAAGGCTCCTCGCACCGCCGCCATCACGGTGAGCTGCCCTACGAGTAGCTACGCCGATGTTGTGCGGCGGGCGAGGAGCCATATAGATCAAAGTGAGCTGGGGATCTCAGGGCCAGAAGGGCTGCCACCGGCGCACTGCTCCTCGAGATCCCTGGTCCCGAAGGACAGACTAGGGCAGATTCCCTGACCAAAAGAATGTCGGCCCTCTTCGCCGACAAGAGAGACGTGCAAATTGCGCGTCCCTCGAAGAGGGCCGACATCCGGGTCCGTGACCTGGATGACTCAGTCACCGCGGAGGATGTGATCTCCGCGGAGGCGGTCGCCGGGAGTTGCGGACGGAGGACGACTCAAAGTTGGGTGATCCTCCGTCCGCGTAGAGGCCCTGATAAAGCGCCCCCTCCAGTGCTTCAAATGCCTGGAGTAGGGCCACGTCAGGGCCTTATGCAAAAGCAAGACTGACCGCAGTGGTCTTTGTTACCACTGCGGCTCGGCCGGCCACAAGGCCGCGGCGTGCGATGCACCGGCGACATGCCCGGTGTGTCGCGACGCCGGGCGGCCCTGTGGCCACAGAGTGGGAGGTCCCGCTTGCCAAATGGCAAAGCGGGGCAAGGGGGGATAGAGCGGGAGGAGGAGGCGTAAAGCCTCCAATATCCCTCCCGCCCCTCCTCCTGGGAAAGAAAAGGAGCCCTCCCTCGAAAACCAGAAAAAGGGGCTGCATTGCCCGAGACCTCAGTCCCTCCGACGGACACTGCTCCCAAGGAGCAGAGAAAACCGTGGGGGGCTGGGGCCGGGAAAAGTTGCCTCGCGGGAGAGGGGAAACCCCAACGAGGGTCCCGCTTTTGCGAGGAAGATAAGGGAGGGCCTGGAGGAGAGCGGATCTAAGCCGTAA